CCGTTCCGCCAACTTAGAGAGGAATCTGCTCAAAGCTGCCAATCGGCCGGTCAAGTGCTGTACTTCTCTGACGGTCATGGGCGGCTGCATGCCAAGAATCGCCTTCACCTTGGCCGGATTAGGCTCAATTCCATGTTTGGTCATCATATAACCCAAAAATTTTCCCGTTTGGACTGCAAACATACATTTGGTCGGGTTTAGACGTAGATGGTACGTCCGCATGATCTGAAAGCATTGTCGGAGGTCCCGAGTATGATCTGCTCGATCCCGGCTCTTCACAAGCATATCGTCAATATATGCCTCCATGGTTCGGCCCAACAAGTCTTCAAACAACATGTTGATCATACGTTGGTACGTAGCTCCAGCATTTTGCAAACCGAACGGCATAACTCGGTAACAGTACAATCTATCGGGAGTGACGAACGACGTATTGCTCTCATCCTCATGGCTCATCATGATCTGGTGATAGCCTTTGAAGGCATCCATGAAGCTCATCAGTTCTGCCCCAGCTGTTTCATCCACCATATGATGAATGCTCGGTAGCGGATAAGGCTCTAAAGGGCATGCTTTGTTCAGATCAGTAAAATGGATGCACATCCTCCAAGATGGGGGTTTGGGAACCAATACTATATTAGCCACCCATTCGGGATAAGTGACCGGTCGGATGTGCCCGATTGAAGACATCTTTTTAACTTCTTCCCGCACGAACTCCCTTCGATCCGAAGACAAGTGTCAGGTCTTTTGCTTGATTGGCTTTGCGGCGGGGTCTATGGCCAATCGGTGGCATATCACAGTACGATCAATCCCGAGCATGTCCTCTGGGCCCCATGCGAATATATCAGCAAATTCCCGAAGGATAGCCAAGACCTCTAATCGAAGCTCAAGGGTCAAAGCTCGACCGATCTTGACCTTCTGTTCGGGTTGGTCTTCAGACAAGGGGACTTCTTCTATTTCCTCATAAGGTTCGAGCTGCTCCTTCTGGTCTTTCCCGGCTTCTTTGGTGATGGTATTCACTCCTGATGAACTTGAATCTCGCCGATTGACGGCTCGGGAATAACATTTCCTAGCCGATTGGGCATCCCCGCGCAACACTCCGACCCCAGCCGAGGTGGGGAACTTCATGCAAAGATGGGGCATGGATATAATTCCCCTGACCCTCATGATTGCCGGGCGACCCAAGATAGCATTATGGACACAACGAAGATTGACCACAACAAACTCCATTTGTGTTTTGACCGACTTAGGAAGTGTACCCAATTCTGCCGGCAGGGTAATTTTTCCTTCGGGGTGGATAGTGTCCCCGGTAAATCCAGACAAAGGTGCTCCGACCAGAGCCAACTCTCGACGATCAAGTTTCAATTTTTCAAAAATGTCCAGGTGAAGGACATTCACGCTACTTCCAGTATCGACCATCACCCTCTATACGTCCACACCCATGATATCAATTGTGACGACCAGAGCCTCCATCCCCGTATCTCCGGTCTCGGGCTGATCTTCCAACGCGAAGGTGATTGGCTCCATTTTTTACCGCTTGCCGGTTTCACGAGATTCCACGATCGCAACCGGGCAGGGTTCTCGGGCTCGGGAGGCATCTTCCAAGCCCCCAAATATGACGTGAATGGTTGGCTTAGATGCTGGATGGTCGTCGGACTTGGGATCGAGGTCTCTTTGGTCGTGGTCCGATCGGTCAGAGCGATCGGAGTGTCGATGGTCTCTTCTTTCAGCAGATCTTTTGCTCTCTTCCCTTTTTCCCACGCACTTGTCCAGTTTTCCCGCTTGAAGCAGATCTTCTAATAACTGTCTCAGAGTCGTGCATTCTTCAGTGTCATGCCCAGCACATCGGTGATAAGCACAGTGCTTTGACTTGTCCTTCCCTTCTTGCCCAGGACGTGGTAACCGAATGAGATTGCATGGTTGAGCATATTGCAGGGCTTCCGCGGCCGAACGGTTCAAAGCAGTGAATTCGTCCAGGCGAGTTCGGGATCGGGGGTGTTCTGCCGACCGATTGTCCAATCGACCGGGGGGCTTCCGGGATGACCCAACCTCCTGTGACCGTTTAACGGCATTGGCTTCTCCGGCGTTCGCGTAGTCGGTCACTCGGCGAAGAGCTTCTTCATACGTGGTCGGGGGATGAAATATGAACTCCTGATATAAATATCCGGCTCTTAAAGAAATATGCAACATATGGATCGTGGTGAGGTCATCCATGAGCTCGATCTCTCCCACGGCCGCTTTCCATTTAACCAAGAAATTGGTCAACGTTTCCCCTTCCAATTGCTTAGCTTTCTCCAAGTACATGTAAGGCTTCCGTATGATTTTCGACGTCACAAACTTCCGATTGAACTTCATCGCCAGGTTAGCAAAGCAAGATATAGACCCTGGGTCCAACGTTCTAAACCACTCGGTCGCTCGTCCAGATAACATCGAGTAAAAAGCTCGACACATCACAGCATCACTCACACCCATCATAAGCATATTCCCATAGTAGGTGTTGATGTGGACCTCCGGGTCTTTTCGACCATCATATTCCTTATTACCGGGAATGCGCAGGTCGAGCGGATACGGTTGAGCCATGATCTCGGCGGTGAAAGGGGTCCGTAACAGTGACGCGGTGTTATCCGAAGGCCTTAAAACGTGCTCATTTTGCCACCGAGTGAATTCTGCACGGAGCTCGTTCACTATTCCTCGGGTATCGTCTTGCTCAACCGTACGGGCTGGTTCACGAGCCCGACAACGACAATGCACCTGAGGTCCACTGTGTCCTGATGATCCCGCTTGACTGGCCGCTTGCATAGGTGAATCGACCGATCGCCTATCCGGGTCCTGTGGTCCCAATCGTTGACGCATTGCCGGCCGAAGTCGTTCAAACGCGCTCACACGGTTATCCTGTGGCTCGAGTTCATCTACCGCCTAGGCATGTATTTCCTGACGTGGTTCCTCCATGGGCCCCGCCCCCTGCGATCCCAACCTCGAGCGAGCCGAGCGCCTAGTCCGAGGACCGGGCTGAAGCTCGGGCTCGGTCTGCATCGCTGGTTGGTTCAGGGGAGCAGAAGCTGGAGCCGTGTACGCAGGCATATAAGGTTGATAGTTACCGGGCGGGTAATACATTGGGGTCCCGGGCCAACAAGCATATTGGGTAAGTGGTACGGGATGTGGATAATATCCCGGGTAGGGGAATTGCTGACCAGGTGGCAGATACATCGGTTGGACATAATTGACCGCATTAGGAGCTACCGAGTGAGGTGGAGAATGATTGAGGTTGAGGTTAACAGTCTGACCGTGTTGTTGTGTATAATGGTCGGATGAACTAGCTTCTTCATCCTCTTGTTGGTACATGAACGGATACATGATTGAGGTTTGATAGGCGTCACGAACGACTTTTCGTACCGATCCCCACAGACGGCGCCAAAATGATAGTATTAATGTCCACGTGTATGTGGTCTACGTACTGTATGTAAAACGATAATATGAATAAGAAAAGGTTATTTCATATAGAAGGGTGACCTAATACAATCTAAATGACTATTTCGAGGGCCGACTGACTACGGTCGGGGAGCTCTGTAAATAGCCTATTGATCGTTCCTAAAAGTCCCTTTCGCCTTAACCACCATGGATATTTATAGCCTTTAGCTGGGAACAACCCTCTGGCCTACCGGCATGTAATCCACGTAACATCCACGTGCCCCAACCTAGTGAGTACTCTCTGTCAATGCCTAGCATCGCCACGTGCCCCTCTCCAACGATATTGCCTCTTCGTAGAACAAAGGTATGGTGGTCGGACAGAACATCGGTCGGGAGGTGACTCGACCAGTCGGACCCGATCGTCTCTAAACAGAAGGGCAATACAAAAGGTACATGGACGACCGGTACCGACCATCTCTTCGTTGCAACGCTCGAGCCGAGGAACTTGTACTGACCAACACGGAGAACATATTAGGTCGGTCGGGATATATCCTACCACGTAATATACATAAACTTTTACCATAATAAACATCAACTCTTAACATAATACATATAATTTTCATGTTTCGGATGTACATAATTGTATAAAAAAGATGTACATGATTGTATAAAAAATGTACATAATTGTATAAACAAATACACATAATTGTATAAACAAATACACATAATTTATAAACAAATACACATAATCACGTCAACTCCCTACATAACTTACCAAAACGACGTCGTTTTGAGAGGCGCGGGGCGCACAGTGCTATGCGCTTCGTGGTGCAAGGTATAACGGAGTTAGGGCCCATTGATTAGCAACAATAAATAAATAACACCAATTACACGTAACGAGTTAAAAATCGAGTAGAATAATACTATTTTTCCATCCTAACGCTCATCTCTTGACCTGACATGACAGTAATTTTTTTTATTCATTAACTATGGTGAATTGATCGATCTCACCAATACTTAAAAAGAATTTACTTATTAATTAAATATAAAAAGAACATATAATATATCACCATATAAGGAAGCGAAATTATGGGGTAAAATCAGGAAGAAAATGTAACATTACTCTTTAAGGAGTGTTGTTGTTGTGATGACGAAGAAAGACGAAGCAGCAGAGTGGGGTACAAGGCAATTCATTAATTTTAATTTTTTTTTCTTTTGTTTATTTTTAATTGATGGTAAAAAAATTATTTACCCTTCTAAAATTTAAATATACAAGACAATTCATTGATTTCGGTCGGAACTTACCGATGGCCGAAAGGACTAAAAATGAAAAAAAAAAAAAAAAAATCAAAGTCAAGCAGTACTTATGTCAGGAATGAAAGTTATGAACCTAAGCATTAAAATCATAGGACAAAAAGTGAAAAAAAAAAAAAAAAAACTATTTCCATTAGTTATATTTATATAACAATTTACATTGTATCATTCAAAAAAAAAAAAAAAAAAAAAAAAAAAAAAAAAAAACGTGTGCAAATATGTCCACACAATACAAAAATCTACAAAAATCTTAATGGTTCATTTAGCGCCTCATGACTTTTCAGCTCTTCTATCCAATTAAATGTCCTCTGCACAACTCAAAGTAATCCTTCCGTCCAAAATATAGTGTATAGAGAGATAGTACGTTCAACTCATGGCAGATATCAATAATGCAGATGATATAGCCGTCGATGTTTCTCCGTTAATCAGAGTCTACAAAGACGGCCGAGTGGAGCGCATTTGCAACTACCCCTACGTCCCGCCGTCGCCGGAGGACTCTGCTACCGGCGTCTCTTCCAAAGACATCACCGTTTCCCCCAACATCTCCGTCCGAGTCTATCTCCCGAAACTCGCCTCCGCCACCCAAAAACTCCCCATCCTAGTGTACTACCACGGCGGCGGCTTCTGCGTAGATTCCGCCTTCTCCTCTATCTACCACCATTATCTAAACATCCTAGTTTCCCAAGCCAACGTCATTGCCGTCTCGGTCGAGTACCGTCTCGCTCCGGAGCATCCTCTCCCGGCAGGCTACGAGGATTGCTGGGAGGCGCTTCAATGGGTCGCCTCCCACGCCAGCAACGATGGCCAACAAGTTCCCCTCAAAGAACCCTGGTTAGTTAACCACGGCGACTTCGAGAAGATCTTCGTCGGCGGCGATAGCGCTGGGGGAAACATCGTTCACAACGTTGCCATTAGAGCCGGAAATGAGCCCTTAAACCAGAAGTCAAAACTCTTGGGAGGGATACTCTCTTTCCCATACTTCTGGAGTTCAAATGAGAAGGGCGGTGAGCAAAGCATACTACAGAAGGTTTGGGATTTCGTTTATCCGACGGCGAAGGGAGGGATTGATAACCCAATGATTTATCCCATGGCTGAAAATGCGCCGAGCTTAGCAGGGCTGCGGTGCTCGAAGCTTCATGTGTGTGTGGCAGAGAAGGACGAGCTGAGAGAGATCAGTCTCCGGTATGTGGAAGCTGTGAAGAAGAGTGGGTGGAAAGGTGAGATCGAGGTTGTTGACGTTGAAGGAGAAGAACATTGTTTTCCCATAATGAATCCTGGTACTGAGAAAGCCAAAGATACCTTCAAGCGTATTGCTTCTTTCATCCAGGACTGAATTTGCTAGTTTCAGTGGTTGGGTCTTATTATTATTATTGTTAATGAATGTCTAAATCTTTTATTTTTTTTAATTTTTTTTTAATTTTATGGGCACAATAATGAATGTCTACTTTTCTTCTCCAATTGAAGACGGTTGCGAATTTGCTAGTTTGGATCCGTAGTTGGATCGTAATTAATGAATGTATACCTACGAATATTGTCGGTATTAAATATTACTAGTATTGTACCCGTGCGATGCACGGATATTACTTATACATAAATAAGTTAAGTATTTTTAACATTAAAGTTATTTTTCATAAAAGTTAATGATTGTGAAAATTTAATTTACATGTAAGAATAAGAGAACATGTATTGCTAAAAGGAAAAGTTGGTTAAAATTGAATTAAAATTACAAATTATTGAACACTTCATGATAAACAACATTTGTAGTTGAAGTGCAACTCGTAGCACCTTCGTTGCCAATCAAGATCTTTAAACCATTCGGGTTGCTAACTCTTGAAGCAGCAACATACAATTGACCATGTACAAAAACAGGTTTCTTCAGCAGCAGACCAACATGAGATAGCGTCTGTCCTTGGCTTTTATTAATGGTCATTGCATATGACAGCATAAGCGGAAATTGCCTTCTTTGAAATTTGAAAGGCAATCTTATATCAGTCGGAGTCATCGACATCCTTGGTATCAACACCCTAGTCCCGCAATTGTTACCAGAAACTATCTTTGCTTCTACAACATGCTCCGCTAATTTGGTAATGACCAACCTAGTACCATTGCATAACCCCATCGAGTGATCGATATTTCGCAATAACATTACAGGAGAACCCACCTTAAGAGTTAGAGCATGGTTGGGGATACCAGATGCTCGCAACCCATTTAGAAACTCTGGAGTATGCACATCTGCAAGGATACCGTCACTTGAGTCAGACTTACAAACTGTGTCGCAACTGAAGTATGTCTTACTCTCAGCTACATGCAAATGACTCATATACTCGTTGATGGAGTTAACCACATCAAGAGTTGGGGCCAATATTGCGCGACTTTCTAGATACTTATGATCGCATCCACCATTTTTTAACATAGGAAATGTACTATCTACAATTGTGGCTATGTGGTCACCTGTAGAGGGCAACAACATTTCCGGTGGGATGTTAGCATCTGCATAACCATCATTCGGTCCACCCATTGTTCCATCTCCGATGGATGCAATCCATTTTGCAAAATCTTCAACTTGTTGTAGATCAACACCAGGCTCCATCATATTCAATCTTAGATTCTTTGTTAATCTAAGAACTTTACATTTATCCCAAAGATAAGAAGAATTTATAGTAGCTCCTACAATGTCTTGTCTAGTACCTTTAGGTATTACAGGCAAGATTTGTCTAAAGTCACCCCCAAAGACAACAGTCTTACCACCTACATATTAATATTTTTGTAATAAATATTTAGCAGATAAGTATATCAAAAAATTTATTACTTTTTGTAGTCATAAGGTACTTACTATGAGTTATAACGCTAAATGGAGAAATCAATGATCCTTGAAAAACACCATGAAAGTAGCTAGATGACGGATTGCAATCTGTATTACTATAGTTAGTAATACCATCATTTCTCTCATATGATTGAAAACTATCATTCTCTGAAAAGAAAATTTCCAAAAAATTAAGTTTAGACAAATGAACACACAAAAATAACTAACATATACTAATCATTATTGCATGGACCATGGTCCATACAATTGTATGGACCATAAATAAAAAGTACATTTTTAATATACTAAATGTATATTATTTATGTACATAAAATATATTTTTTAAAGTACATTTTTAATATATTAAATATTAAATGTACATTATTCTCTAATATAATGTACATTTAATACAAAATTAATGTACCTTAGTATATTAAAAATGTTCATGATATTCATGATCCACTAATTGTGTGAACCATGGTCCATGCAATAATTTGCCAACATCTACTCTAAAACAATTAAAAAATAAGCAAACTATCAGCCCAATCTATTGAGCCCATTCCCTATACGCGGTTTAGGCCACCAAATCAGTAGAACAACCCATCCCCTTATCTGTTCTTCCTCACCAGATCAGGAAACTACCGACCATTCAGCATAGTATTATCCCGTTACCTTAGCTAGCTTTACCATTCAGTTCACTTCCATGATTTGCACGATTGAGTCGCAAAAATCAGAGGAAGCTATTTTTGACAAAGCCGTGCTTCATGACCTAGATAAGTATTTTCTTTAAAATTTATCTTAAATTTTCTTTAAAATTTAGAAGGAACTGCTACGAATTCAGATACTACTTACCATTACAGTTCATTTTCGCATCAGTTCGTTGCTTGGATTAATAATTTGAATCTTACAGTTCTAATCTAATGACTAACTCTGGTTGTTTTGATTAGCTTTAGGATTTTAAAATCCCCAAATCGCATAAGTAAAGTGCGATTTGGCGCATGCAAGGCCAGATCTGTAATGGCCTGGAATAGCGATCTGGACATGCACGGGAGCAGGTAATCTTTTTGCTCTTAAATTCTCTTAGTTTCTGATTTTGCAAGTACTTACGACATAGTATTTACCATGTATTTGTTTATTTTCAAATCCAGAAATAGTTCATATCATATACACCTAAGAATGAAAAAACCTTGGAAGGAACTCAAAAAAATTAAATTTACAGAACTAAGAAGCTTTAAAAGTTAAAAACTTACCTTTGTTTTCGAATAGCTGCTTCCTCTTCTTACCAATGGTTGTTGAAGTAGTTAGTTTCTTCATACTTTTGCAGAGATAAAAGTGTAGACTGTGGAAAATTTTACATTTGGCTCATATATCTCTATTATATATAGATATAGTTTCAGCTGCATAGGAATCATAACAGTTTTTTACATTTTTCATTATTGTCTTGAATACCTGTTTATCCCAATATCCTACACTTATTTAATACTATTAACTATAGGCATTATTTCTGGTGTTGGAAGACTAAAGAATTGTTTCTGAATACGCTTCCCAGAAGCTTTAATTGATTTTGATTTGACGGTGACATAAATATCATATAATCCCAATGATATTAAAATTCTTCTTCTCCCAATGATATTAAAACTCTTCTCCTCTCCCAATGATATTAAAACTCTGATTAAGTATTATAGTATCCCATCTCATTCCATCTCCAAACGATGGCGTATAGTATAGGCGGGAAGTTGTTAAAATTTTGCATTTATTACCTCTTATTGCTATTTTATAATAGAGATGAGATAATGTCATATGAGTCTTTCGAGTATAGTGATATTTTGTCACATTTAGTCCTAAACTTTTAAATTGACCACACGTGGTTCTTTGACTTTTAAATTGTTACCATTTGTGGTCCAAGTTAACCAGTCATGGTCCTTCAACTGTTAAAATTTAACTAGTTGTGGTCCTCTTAGAAGGATCATGGGTGGTTAAAATTTGATAGTTGAAGGATCATGAATGGTTAACTTGGACCATGAATAGTAACAATTTGAAAGTCGAAAGATCACAAGTGATCAATTTAAAAGTTCAGGACTAAACGTCGCAAAATCATCATACTCGGAGGACCGCAAATGGTATTAACTCTAAAAATTATATTCCGCCTCAACAGTCAACACAACCCAAATAACGAACACAAAACATCGAAAGCTAAGAGAATAGTGATAATATAATCATATAATCGCTTGTATTAAGTATCTTGTTACCACACCTGTATTGCGCGAATAATCTAATGTCTAATGTATAATTTTAAACTAATGTTTTAGAATTTATCAAAGTATCATTCGACAGTATCCTGGTATATATCAATGCAAGATTATCAAATCTTTTAGTAAATATTTTAAGAATATATAACTATGACATATGGCAGAAATGTTGGATTAACTGGTTCAATAACAGTTTAAGAGAGAAGCACATTCACGGGATAGTACCCTAAATATAGGTTTTGCAACACAAAACTCTATCAATTTGCGTGATCTATGCTTCCTCTTGTTGCCACTTACGTCAGAAATTAATTCTTAATTTAATCTAGTCTCCTAGTGTGCTTCAGTGCAATTTTAGTGCCTTGGCGCAATGCACATTCAAAAACATAACCAAATCATCCTTCCCCAAAAAGATAATGATAACAAGGCATACTTTCTCATATGCGTTGAATATATATTGTAAATTAGGTATATCGTTTCATCAATGCCCAATGTGTGATGCTAATTAATTGACCAAAGTTCATGTTACATTTTATATTGTATTTGTTTTTTTTTTTTGTTTTTTTGTTTTTTTTTTTTTTTGAAAACAACCATCAAAGCGAACTATTATTGTGAAATCAAATCACTAATACAATGAGGGATATCTGCGTCACACATCTCCCGACCAGTATACGAGCAAGAAACTCTGGGTAGAGAGTCAACAATCACATTGATTATTATATTGTATTTTTTTAATACACTCTAACATATTCATAGTATATGTTTAACAATTATTATGTTTAACAATTATGTTAATAATTTTGATTGGGATGGAATTCAAACCTAAAACCTTCTTTATGAAAATCAATAAATTAAGAATAATAAATAGTTAACGGAATGTTCTATTACTAAAGTTTGTATTGATGGATTGCAGGGTATTTAGAAAAATTAAATGATATAACAGAGAGTAAAGTATGAAAGATAAAATAAATTCTAAAATCAAAATAATATGAACCATTCATTTCAAAAACAATTACACCAACAATTTATAGTTCCCGTTAAGGGTCTAACTTTATTCGCTCTTATTAGGTTTGTAGAATTAATTACTCCATTACGTTTGAACTCTAAATAATAATGACGTTTAGAATGTGACTACGACGGGGAAGGTCATCGTTCTCAGCTCCCATTTGAGTCTTCGACCTCTAGAATCTCATTCTATTGTTCATCAGGCTTAGGGCGAGGTACTCAGCACGTACACTACATTCAGAGCGGTAAGGAGGAACTTCATCTTCTTTTGCCATCTTTAAAAGCACATGCCTTCAAACTGCTCCAACTTCTGAAAGTTGGTGGTAAAGTCATGAAATCCTGAACTCATAATCTTCACAAAAGCATAAATTTAAAAACTTATATTGGGAAATTGGTGTTTGAGAAAACAGATGAGGATTGAGATTTTCAGCATGTAAACACTTTCATATATGTTTTTAATCTACTTCAGAGAAGCAATGAAGTCCAATATTAGACTTATGAGATACAAGAAGATGAACAAAATTCTTAAGTTGCTCTGTTAAGAAATTCTCTCTTGAACTGTGTGACTATGAAGATATCTTACGTATACTGTGAAAGTATATCGTATTTCGTATATATTTTCAAATTCTTTTCCCAGTATCTATAGATAAAAATACTAACTGTTAGGGGAAATTATACGGAAGTTATGATAGTTAATAACGTAAACTTCCAAAGGATAATAATCCTAGCTAATTTAAATTAATCCACAGTTAGAATATAGTTATCATTGATTGGGATATATATATATATATATATATATATATATATATATATCCCAATCAATGGTAACTATATTCTAACTGTGGATTATGACTTGGATATATATATATATATATATATATATATATATATATATATATATATATGCATACATACATAATACATATAGTCCATATTAAATTACCATGCAAACACATACATCCACTATGTAGAAGTCATAATCCACATGTTAATAACTAGTTGAGTCAAACTGATTACCAATTGACCTAATATAATCTTGCATTGAGCTTATTGTATCAGCTCGATAGTATATCAACTATGATAATAAATCAGCTTGTTTACTAGCTTTGAACTAGTACATAAGCTTATTTACCCATCAGCTCGTTTACTCGTGAGCTTGAGCTAGTACATTAGTTCATTTACTCATCAGCTTGAGCTAGTGTATCAGCATATTTCATTAACAACTAAGCAAGCTAATTTTGTGTATCTATATCTCATCTAACCAAGCAGAATTTTAGTACATCAGCTCATCTTAACTGAGCTGAATTTTAATACATTAGCTCACCTTAACCGGGGTGAATTTTATTTATGCAACAGTACACTTCAAACCTTTTCTTTCCCGATCAGTCTACCAAACTTTAAATAATCTTTATAATACCACAATGCCCAAATATTATTTATGTTTTCATGGTAGTATATCTAGAAATTAATCACTATTATTATATAAATTAATTTTTTTCACGTGGATTGCGTGAATAGAATAATGCCAAATGATTATTTTTAAATAAGTACTTCAAAGTATATTATTGCAGGATTATATAGGAGATGTTCAAGCATAGGTAATTGAATTTTGAATTTGAATTGTTTATTTAAATTAGTAATTCAAAGTATATAAATGCAAGATAATATATAAAAGATTGATTATAATTGTCAGTAAAGTAAATGTTTGCAACGTTGTAATAACGCTAGTCTAAATACTTAGTCTAAAAACGATAGTCTAAATAAATACTATGTTTTATTTAAATTTCTCTAAATCTTTTTAATTCTCTTTTGGGTAGCATTGTCATTGTTTTCATATTCAGTACTTGTACTCTTCTTTTTATTGATAGTGTGTCATGTGCAATCGGGTTACTGGTGCAGTAGCATAGAGGGCAACGCCATGCAATGAGATTATGGTGTAGGAAGTTTTAGATTTGTCTTGCTGTGTTTATGACTGGGATCTTAGTTGTACTATGAACTCTTTATCTTGCCAATGCCTGTTGATATTTGGCAGTAGTAGTCCCCCCCCCCCCCCCCTACATGTTTCATGTGCTATGAGATGTGTGCCGTAGATTATCATGTGAAAGTATTGAAAAAAAATATTAATATTTATTATATTTTTATGAAATACTTGGTAAATAAATATATAACATATTTTGTATTATAACTTTGATATTTATAGTGTAAAAAGAAGATAATTGACAATGAATTTGAAGGTAAGGAATCTTTGAATTGTAGAAAATAATTAAAGATAATATAACTAATGAAATTATCTCTTTTTAAATTTTTTTATAATCAGTAATTTTTTTTTTTGAATAAAGGCATTATAGACATCTAATTCTAAATTAATTAAATACATATGTATTATTTTTGGTCGTAGCTACTAATTTATTTAATTAAATAAGAGTAATAAAGTGAAGTACTTACTTATCATCCACAATAATGAAGTCATTGATTTTTTATTTTTTATTTCCATTTGTTGTTGAGACAAATTATTTTGGGAGTTTGTCAATGACAATTGATACAATTGCTGTCAATAGAGGATCGATAATAAATAATTTGAAATATATTGTTACAATAGATATTGTTATAATAATATAGTAAAAATTAACTTACAAATTTTTTCAGAAGTTTTCATGCATTTGATAAAATTATGAGAATGATGTGTAAACTTATTCAGTTGGAACCAGTGGAATGTCAACATTGTCAATTATTTAGAAAAATGACCCTACCGTTTCAGAATCCAGTGTAGTTGTATTTCTAATTATATTATATTTGTAGATAGATTGTAGATATCCAACATTATCATTGTCAAAGAATTATATAAGAAATAATATAATAAATTTGAGTAAAGAATTATAGAGGAAAATATTACACCAATAAAACGTGATTAGTACAACAATTTAGATACGAAAAGAACGTGAAAGAAAGACTTTTAAATTTTAATAGAGGAGGGTCAATTATTTAAAAATCATTTGTAAGAATAAAAGTAAAGAAATGTAGAAACACAACATATCCGCCTTCAATACATCGCATCTATCAATA